AACAATTTTTGAGCATCTGCTCTGCACCAGGCACTGTGTTAGGCACTTGGCATGTGTGATTTAAGGGCAATTCAAGGTCCAAAGTGCGATGAGAGCTCAGAGAGGTTTCAGAATTTTCCTGAGGAAGTGACATTGGAACTGACACTTGAGGAATAGTATGATTTTTAACAGATTGAATTGGTGAAAGCAATGAAAGGAGCCAGGATCTTTTTTTTTTTTTTTTCTCGAGATGGAATTTTGCTCTTCTTGCCCAGGCTGGAGTGCAAGGGCATGATCTCCGGTCACTGCAACCTCCCCCTCCCTGGTGCAAGCCATTCTCCTGCCTCAGCCTCCCGAGTAGCTTGGATTACCGGCCCCCACCACCATGCCCGGCTAATTTTTGTATTTTCAGTAGAGACAAGGTTTCACCATGTTGGCCAGACTGGTCTCAAACTCCTGGCCTTAGGTGATCCACCTGCCTCGGGCTCCCAAAGTGCTGAGATTACAGGCATGAGCCACCATGCCAGGCCAGGGGGAGAATCTATTCTTCAACGCTCAAGAGGCAAGGAAGGGGGGCTGCACTGCAGGAACCGGGAATATCCCTTTTGGCTCTGCATCCCTTTTTTCTAAAATGAAACACTTGCCGGAACCTCCTGCTTGATCTTACTGCCTCCTCTCTCTTTCTGGTGTATCCTAAAAGGACTCAGATCCACCTTCATGAAACCAACATCTGACCAAATCACAGCTCTACCAAGAAGGAAGACAGAAAAGCAGGAGGTAGTGACAGAATGAAGAGGAAAGCTTTCAACAAATCTTACAGAATGATGTCCAAACTCATTATTCCAAGCCTCTAACTGGCAGTGCCAGTTGGTGCATTTTTAGCTTTATCTCCTGCCACTCCAACCCCACAGCGCCTCTGCTTCCTACATTCCAGGGATCCCTCAAACAGAGCAGGTAGTTTATTCTTCGGCGCCTTTATTTCTGCTTTTCCTTCTGCCTGAAATGGCCTGCACTCCGTCAAAATCAGATTAAGATTTTAAACTTCAGTTTAAGTGAACTTTCCCTAAGACATCCCTAACCACTCATTCAGAATTAAGCCTTCTCTCTCCTGTGGTCCCACAGGGCTTCCTGCCTCTATCCTAGCACTTGTCATTCGGGAATCAGAAGACCTGGGTCAAACTCTAGCTCCACTATACAAAAGCTGAATGAATTGGGGGGCTTTTCTACTGATACCTCTGAGGCTGTTCCCTTTTTTTTATTTTTTTTGAGATAGAGTCTTGCTCTCTCGCCAGGCTGGAGTGCAGTGGCGCGATCTTAGCTCACTGCAACCTCCGCCTCCTGAGTTCAAGTGATTCTCATGCCTCAGCCTCCCGAGTAGTTGGGATTATAGGCACGTGCCACCACACCCAGCTAGTTTTTGTATTTTTAGTAGAGACGGGGTTTCACCATGTTGGCCAGGATGGTCTCAATCTCCTGGCCTCGTGATCTGCCCGTCTCGGCCTCCCAAAGTGCTGGAATTACAGGTGTGAGCCACAGCGCCTTGCCTGTTTCCTCTTTTGTAAAAATGAGAGATTTAAGATTTACCTTGTAGTATACAGTAAGATAATGTATGCAAAAGTACTCTGTAAACTCTTACACATGTAACATTTTTACATTTACATTTTAAATATGTAAACAGTTAAAAGTTTCTACTCCACTAAAATGTAAGGTCCCAGGGAACAGGAATTTTAAAACAAAAAATTTTCGTTTTAAAGTAATACTTACAGGCTGGGTGTGGTGGTTCCCACCTGTAATCCCAGCACATTGGGTGGCTGAGGCAGGCAGATCATTGAGGACAGGAGTTTGAGACCAGCCTGGACAACACGGCAAAACCCCATCTCTACAAAAATACAAAAAATTCGCCAGGCATGGTGGCACACGCCTGTCATCCTTGCTACTCAGGAGGCTGAGGAAGGAGAATCGTTATGGGAGGTGGAGGATGCAGTGAGCCGAGATTGCACCACTGCACTCCAGCCTGGGTGAGAGAACAAGACTTTGTCTCAAAATAAGTAAATAAATAAATAAAATTTAAAATAAACTTTTACAGAAGAGGTGCAAAGGTATATAGAGAATTCCCATATATTCTTCACCCAATTTCCCCTACTGTTAACATCCTAAATAACCATAGTACATTTATCAACACTAAGAAATTTACATTTATAAATTACTATTAGCTAAGCTGCAGACTTTATTCTCATTCTTACAACAGTTTTTCAACTCTTGGCCCTTTTCTGTTTCAGGATCCAATGCAGAATCCCATACTGCATTTAGTTGTCATCTTCTTAGTCTCTTCAATCTGTGACAGTTCCTCAGTCTTTCCTCGTCTTTTATGACCTTGACATTTTGAGGAGCACTGGTCATTTTGTAGAGGTAGAAAAACCCTCCATATGAATTTTTCTGATGTTTTCTCATGATTAGATTGAGGTCACAGGTTTGGGAAGCATACCACAGAGGTAATGTGCCCTTCTCCACATCAGGGGTTCCATCATAACAACATGGCTTATTACTGGTGATAAAAGAGGGTTTTTTGTTTCTTTTTACCGATTCTCTCTCTGTTGCCCAGGCTGGAGTGCAGTGGTGTGATCTTGGCTCACTGCAACCTCTGCCTCCTGGGTTCAAGTGATTTTTCTACTTCAGCCTCCCAAGTACCTGGAATTACAGGCAGGCACCATCGCGCCTGGATAATTTTTGTTTGTTTGTTTTGAGACAGAGTCTCACTCTGTAGCCCAGCCTGAAGTACTGTGGTGCAATCTCAGCTCACTGCAACCTCCGCCTCCTGGGTCCTGGTTCAACCAATTCTCTTGCCTCAGCCTCCCGAGTAGCTGGATTACAGGAATGCACCACCATGCCCAGGTAATTTTTGTATTTTTAGTAGTGACGAGGTTTCACCATGTTGGCCAGGCTGGTCTTCATATCCTGACCTCAGGTGGTCGCCCACCTCGGCTTCCCAAAGTGCTAGGATTACAGGCGTGAGTCACCGCGCCCGGCCTAATTTTTGTACTTTTAGTAGACATGGAGTTTCACCATGTTGGCCAGGCTGGTCTCGAACTCCTGACCTCAAGTGATCACCCGCCTTGGCCTCCCAAAGTGCTGGGATTACAGGCGTGAGTCACCGCGCCCGGCCTAATTTTTGTACTTTTAGTAGACATGGAGTTTCACCATGTTGGCCAGGCTGGTCTCGAACTCCTGACCTCAAGTGACTGGCCCACCTCGGCCTCCCAAAGTGCTGGGATTACAGTCTTGAGCCACCGCACCTGGCCCATCTTTGCTTAAATTATAAACTTAGTTTCTCCCACAGTTAGTGCAGCCTATGCCCAGGAATGTACAAGGACATCTTGGAGGTTAGAAGCAAGATGGAGTTGGTTAAGTTATATCTCTTTCACTGTCTCAGTCATCATTTTGCAAAGGCAATTTCACAAGTAGGGAGAAAGGACTGGTAGATGCAGGGCAGAGACAGGGCTCTGAGCTTTGAGCCTGGATGATACAGATTTGGCAATACTATTCTAAGGAGAGACCAGAGAAAGAAGTTTAGGGTAGAAGGTAATTCATTTGAGTATGTTGAATTTGTCTTGCAGAAAAACCCTGTGAAGGAAACCTCTGTGAGACTGTTGTAAATGCTGGGCAGGGGATGCGGTGGGTCTAGAAATCCAGATTTGAAGCGACTTCTAGTCTATTGATAGCTGAAGCTCAAGAAGAGAATAAGATGAGCAGAGGTGGAGAAGAAAGAGAGAAGAGGACATCAGACTCTTGAGTAAATTCAGCTTAAGCTCAGGGAGGAGTAAGAAAGGGAGACAGTGAAGGAGGTAGAAAACGAACATTAGGAAGCCGGACAAATAAGAACGGGGTAGTTGACAATACCAATGAAGAGGGAGGAGAAGAAGACTTTAATTCTTTCGGAGATGCCAGATTAGAAAAAATTAAGGAATGAGTGAGAAAAAAATGATGGAGTGATTAAACATCTACGTTGCTTTCCTTTGAGAAGGTTAACTATGAAAAGAAGAAAACGGTGGTGGTGGCTGCAAACCATAGGAAGGCTAAGAAAGGGTTTTACCTTGGTTCTGCCTCTAATCCCTGACGCATTTAACCTCAAGCCATTTGCCTGTAAACATAACCGGCATAATGCCCATTTTACAGGACAAGTGCTTCCCTCTTAGAACATATACTCGAGGACAGCGGCCGTCCACGCCTTATTTACGTTCATCTTCCCAACACAACAGTCATTTGGAAGATGCCGAGTGGCGTGGGAAGAACAAGCAGGAACGAGCGCCGACCCGCCCGCGGCCTGACTGCTAGCGCATCGCTGCGCAGCCGCCTCACCGCGCACTCCCTCCTGAATTATTCACCACCGAGACGAGGACTGTGATCGCCCCCATTCCACAGAGGACACGCAGTGAGGGAGGCGCAGTCACAGGCCCAAAGCCCCCAGTCGGCGGGTCTTGGAAATGGATGAGTTTTTCACTCAAACGCTGCGAGGCAACAAGGCACGTGGATGAGGAGGGAAGGGAGCCAGGACCAATAATTCATCTCAAAGTAAAAGACGTCCCTGGGGGTGGGGAAAAAACAAACAAACAACGACAACAACAACAACAACAAAACAGAAAAAAAAAAACCCACAACCGGCTCTGTGCTTCCGCGCTTGCGCTATCCTAGGTCGGCCAGGCTGCCGCCCCGCCCCTAGGCCAGAGTCTCAGTGCGCCTGCGCCGAGCCCGACTTCCGCCAGGGCTCGTTTGGGTTCCAGGCTACTTCTCCCGGCCTAGGGAGGGCCTTCGCTGTGGCGAGAGAAGGGAGTCTGGTGACTGGGTGCGCGCGTGCTGATGACGAAATCGGAAGTGCCCGGAGCAGAGGCGGGACCAGAACCTAGAGGGGCTCGGGATTGCGGAAGTTTGGTGGGGAGGGTCCGATTGCTAGTGGAGAGAGTGTTGTCTGAAAACAAGTTCCGGAAGGGAGGCTGCTGCTCGCGGTCCGAGAACCTCCGGACTCCCCAGTTTGGGGGCTGTTACCCCGGGCGCGGTTGGACGTCGCTGCCGTTGGCTCTTCTCGCCCCTCGTTCCCCTTGGGAACCGCCTGGGAACTCCGCCATGTCATCCACTTCGCCCAACCTCCAGGTATCATTGCTCATCTCCCGTTCCCCTAGGGAGCTGGGACCCAGGGGAGGCGCGAGAAGCGGGTGGGGGGCGGGGAGAAGGGAGGAAGCGGCCGCGCCTGTGGTCGGGAAGGAGGAGGGCGGGTCCGGGGACCTGCCGCAGGTGGGAGAGGGGCCCGTTTTCCAGCGGAAAGGTCTTTTCTGACCCGGTCTTGGGGTCTCCCGAGCCACTGACTTTGTGATACTGCTCCCTTTTGTTGGGTCTTCACGTCCCCAAACCAGCCAAGATCTGGGCAGATCTCTCCAATCAGGGTTAAGGGAGAAAGAACGTAATTTTTGCAAAGCCCTGTTCTAGACCAGTTGAAAATAGAGTGATCATAGTTCGGTCTTAGTTTCTCAAGCTGACAGCAGATGCCTTTATTCTGAGCTGTCAGATGAGTAGAAATATGGGAACAGACTAAGAATCTGAAATTACAGCCAGGCTACATACAGTCTGCGTGAAGTCATTGAATTTATGTGCAGTCTCCTGTGGCCCCCAGATTGTAGTGTGTAAGATCGAGGACTATTCTTAAACTTCTGTGTGGCTCCAGTTCCCCTCTTCTACCGCAATGAGCACAGTGTTTTGTACACAAATCATGGAATCTTAAGATTTTAGGCTTAATCGTTAGTCTTCTGTGGAATAGAATTCTTTCAGAAAAGAAATTCATGTAATGGTGTCTCCTATCCCCAGAATGGATCTAGGGCTTCAGTGGAGTTTAGAATGTAATGTGGCTTAATGTAGAGGACTCCCAGTCCAGTAAGTCAATAAGGGAAGAAAGTAGCCTAAAATACTTGTATTGAATCCCCGTCTTGGACTTCCGGTAGGTTGTTGAACAAGCATTTCAACTTTTATTGGAGTGCCTGATAGAGGCATCAAAGGTAATGGAAGAACTCCTTAGTCCATGATAATTGATTCTGAAGAAAGACCACTCAAAGTAGACCCACTTAAACAGAGATTAAAATTTCACGCACGCATACACAAAAAGAGTGGGAAAGGAGGCTTGCTTGGGACTTTTGTCTTGAAAATCGACCTAGAAGATTATAAAAAAAAATTTTTAAATCTTTCACAAAATAATTATATAATTGCAGCAATGACTCATTTTGTAGAATAAGTCAAGTGTTGATTTGTCTGTGTCTTTTTCTTTTCTTTCTTTCTTTTTTTTTTGAAACGGAGTCTTGCTCTGTCGCCCAGGCTGGAGTGCAGTGGCTCGATCTCAGCTCACTACAACCTGCATCTCCCGGGTTCAAGCGATTCTCCTGCCTCAGCCTCCCGAGTAGCTGGGACTACAGTTGCCCACCACAACTCCTGGCTAATTTTTGTATTTTTAGTAGAGATGAGATTTCACCACGTTGACCCAGGCTGGCCTCCTGACCTCAGGTGATCCGCCCACCTCAGCCTTCCAGAGTGCTGGGATTACAGGCGTGAGCCACCACCCCCGGCCGACTGTATCTTTTTCACCAAGGTTGTGTTAAACTAAGATTCAGCAATCTTCACGTGAGGTTTTTGTAGCTTTTTGTAGTCCTATTTGGAAAGGTTCTTTTCGGTAAACGTATTTGGAAAAAGCGTTGGTCATTTGGTAAAAGTGTTTTTCCCTTGAGTATTAAAGGTGACCCTTCTGAAGTGCCCATCTTGTCATCGTTGGCTTTTTAACAATTTTTATTTCACCAACTTTTCATTTGTCAGAGACTTCGCATGCGATTTCGATACTCTACAACATAATCTTCATCATTTGCAGGTTTTTTTTGTTGTTGTTTTGAGATAGTCTTGCTCTGTTGCCCAGACTGGAGTGCAGCAGCATGATCTTGGCTGACTGCAACCTCCACCTCCCAGGTTCAAGTGATTCTCGTGCCTCAGCCTCCCAAGTAGCTAGGATTACAGGCACCTACCACCACGCCCGGCTAATTTTTTTCTATATTTAGTAGAGACAGCGTTTCATCATGTTGGCCAGGCTGGTCTTGAACTCCTGACCTCAAGTGATCCACCCGCCTTAGCCTCCCAAAGTGCTGAGATTACAGGTGTGAGCCACCGTGCCCAGCCCCGGAATGCATCATATTTGAATTGGACTGTTGGCTCTTCTTCAGTGCGTCAGCCAGAGACTGACCAACATGAAAGGCGTAATTGTTACTGTTAAGCCGGAGGGATCTTGAATTGTGATTTTGTTAGTGGTAGGTTCACATGTGTGCTTTCTCATTCAACCTTTTCAGCCTTCTAACCTAGGAAATTTGGATTAATATCCATGTGATGGTTAACTTCGTGCTGAGCAAGGCAAAACTCCCTGTGGCCAGATGCTTATAATCTAATGAGGGAATGCAGATAACTAAAAATCAAGATTATGTAATAATGTAACAAAGCTACACAGTAGTCTCCACTTCTCTGTGGTTTTACTTTCCACAGTTTCAATAACCCACAGTTAACCTGGGTCCAAAAATTTTAAATGAAATATTCCAGAATAAATAGTTTATAATTTTGAAACACTGTGTCACAATGCCTGTGTCATTCACTTCACTTCGTGTCATCACGTAGGCATTTTATTATTTCACATAATCACAAGAAGGTTGAGAACAGTACAATAAGATGCTGAGAGAGATAAACCACATTCACATAACTTTTATTACAGTATATTGTACTGGGCAAGGAGGCAAAGTCTGTCTGATGGGAGGCGGTGAGGGACCAAATTAGGAGAGTATCCATTCAAATAAAGTGAAAAGGATTGATCAGAGGAGAAAAATTAAAGATGGAGAAGAGTCAAGCTTGTATCTGCATTTTTTTTTTTCTTTTTCTTTTTTTTTTTTTTTTTTGAGACAGAGTCTCACTCTATTGCCCAGGCAGGAGTGCAGTGGCATGATCTTGGCTTATGGTAACCTCCATCTCCTGGGTTCAAGCTGTTCTCCTGCCTCAGCGCCCCCAAGTAGCAACTGGGATTACAGGGATGCACCACCACACCCAGCTAATTTTTGTATTTTTAGTAGAGACGGGGTTTCGCTATGTTGGCCAGGTGGGTCTCCAACTGCTGAACTCAGGTGATCCCCCCACCTCGGCCTCCCAAAGTTCTGAAATTACAGGCGTGAGCCACCGCTCCTGGCTGTATCTGCGTTTTGAAAGGGAGGAGGAATAGTCTGGGTTTTCTCCCAGATTTCGGGGTTGGGTATCTGAGTAGGTAGGGATTGGTTCTGGGAATACAAAAGGAGAGATATTTGGGGCCAGGGCAAGGGAGCAAAATAATTTGGTTCTAAACTTGTTGAGTTTTAGTTGCTTGTGGAGACAATCAAACGGAAATGTTGGTGAATATTTGCATACGCATGTGTAGAACTAGGGAGAGTGAACTAGGCTGGAAATAAGGATTTGGGAATTATTAGCGTACAGGTGGCAGTAGAGGTTGTAGGCATACAGAGTCACATCCTGCAGAGTATACAGAGTAAGCCAAAACAAAGACCAAGGTAGAAATTCTATGGATTAGCGACATTTAAGGAGAGAGAAACGGGAGCCTGGAAAAGAATTGTTAATCAAAAGTAAAACCAGGCCAGGTGCGGTAGCTCACATCTGTAATCCCAGCATTTTGGGAGGCCAAGGCAGGCGGATCGCTTGAGCTGTGGACTTCGAGACCAGTCTGGGCAACGTGGTGAAACCCCCTCTCTACAAAAATTAGCTGAGTGTGGTGGTGCATGCCTATAGTCCCAGCTACTCCAGAGGCTGAGGTGGGAGGATGGCTCGAGCCCAGGAAGTGGAGGTTAAAGTGAGCTGTGATCACACCCCTGTACTCCAGCCTGGGTGACACAGTGAGACCCTGTCTTAAAAAAAAATAAAATAAAACTAGAAGAAAATGATGTCATGACAGCCAAGCAAGGAGACACTGTCAGGGTACTTGTATGTGTGAAGTGCTGCGAAGAGGGAGTGAGATAAGCATAAGATTTGGCTGTCAGGAGGCAGAAAGCATTGCTGTGTGAGAAATAGCAGATCGGGAAACTGGGATGAGTGTGGGTATTCGGGATTTTGATGTGGAGGCAAAGAGATGAGTGAGATGTAGGGAGAGGGGAACCGAGGAGCTGAGGAGAGATGGTGTGTAGTTTATGTTCTGCAGAAGTGAGTCTGAGATAGGACAACACATTTTTCTGCTGAGGGAAAAAAGGAAAGATTGGAGAGAACAGTTGATAGACATGTCATTGATGGAGTAAAGGTCAGTGGAGGAAGGTGGGGATCAGCTCCACAGCAGAGCAGAAAGAATTGGTCTCGACAGACAGGGCCTGGGACACCTTTTCTCCTGAGGCAGGTAATTGTAGAATTTACCCCATTTCTCAGGGTTTTCTAAGGTGGATGTGTCTGGGTCTCCTAAGTGGAAAAGGACAATTCCACATGTTCCCAACCTTTATACTTCCATATTGATAACTGGATCCTGACTGATCCTGGGGTGATACATCATTCAGTCTTGTGTCAGCCACTGTAATAGACTCTGGGAATATAAAGAAGTGAAGACAACAGATATAACTGCTGTTCTTCTAGAGCTTACATTCTAACCGGGAGAGAGAGGCCAATAAATGAAAAGAAAAACAAAAAAACTTTGTGCGTGCTCTGAAACACACACGCACGCACACACACACACACAAAGATCATCAGCCTTAGGTCACTGCAAACCACGTAGGGTGGTGAGTCCCAGCCCACACCTGATGAATATACTTCATTGTCACATACGAGAGGGAGAATCAATGAAGGAGACTGAGAAGGAGCACCAGAGCGGTGGGAGGAAAACCAGCCAAGTGGTCGTAGGGGACTCAGCAGAGGACAGTGTCCAAGAAGGAGGAAATAATCAACTTTCAATGTCAGAAGATCGAGAAGACAGAGCTGGTGTTTGGATCTAGCATACTAGAGAGCCTTTATAGGAGCCGTTTTATTATGTGATAACGGAAAGAGAATAGAGGCCACTCTGGTGAGATTTTTGACTCTAAAAGGTAGCAGAGAAACAGAACTAACACTGAACAGTGTTTTGTTATCAAATAAGACTTTTTAAAGGAGGGCTGTTTGTACGTTGATGGAAATATCTAGTGGAGAGAAATGTTAAGAATGACAGAAGTGAAGTAATTAAAAGGAAGAAGATACTGAAAAAGGAGTAGGGGAATTTTTTTGTCATTCGTTAAACAATTTTGAGTACCCGTTGTATGCCAGCACCATTCTAGGCGTGGGGAGCTCAAGGTGAAGTCCTGTCCTTATGGAGCCTACCTCCCTAAAGGAGACAGCCAGTGGGTGAGTGTACAGGTAAATATAATGACAGTAATAGGATGAGAGAGTGCAGCGGGGGCAGATAGCAGAGAGCAGGGATGAGGTACAGCCTTTTCTATACCAAATTAGGGAGGGCCTCTCTGAGGACTTGCCATCTGAACTAGGACTGAAAAGGAGACATCATGCATCTATCTGGGGAAAGGAAGGAAGAACATTCTAGGTGGAGGGCTCCAACTGCTCAGGCTGCCTGCGTGCAGGAGGATTCTAGGGTTCAGAGGAGAACCACATGTAGCTAGGGCCCAGGTTATTTCAGACCTTTTAGGTCAGCTCTAGCATCAGGATTTTATTCTTTTCAATGGGAAGCCATCGAAGGTTGCCTTGTATGTTTTCAGGTAGCAAGGGTGGGAACAAACTGACCACTCACGAGGCTGGATAGTAGTTTTGACATATATGATAGCAGATAGAACTAGGATGTTAGCAAGGGAGAGGGTGGAGGATTATATTCAGAAAGAAAATGAGCTCTGACTGAAGAGGGAAGATAAGGTTTGATGGACCAGAGCAGATAGAGCCGGAAGAGGGGAAGACAGGCAGCAGACTCTGCCAGTATTATCTGTCTGAGACTGAAGAACTGAAGAACTCCAGTCAGTTGTGAATGATAAGAGCCAATACCTCCAGAGGCTGCAGGCAGAAAGGAATGAACTAAATGCAAAAGTTCACCTATTGCAGGAGGAGCTGCAGCTGCTGCTGGAACAGGGCTCCTGTATGAGGGAAGTAGTCCGGGCCATGGATATGGAGAAAATGTTAGTCAAGGTATATCCCAAGGGCAAGTTTGTCTTAGGTGTGGACAGAAACAGCGACATCAATGACATGAGACCCAATTGCCAGGTGGCGCTCAGAAATGATAGCTACACACTGCACAACATCATACCCAACAAAGTAGACCCACTGGTGTCACCAGTGATGGTGGAGAAGGTGCCAGCCTTGATTTAAGAGATGATTGGTGGACTGGACAAGCAGATTAAAGACATCAGAGAAGTGATCGAACTGCCTGTTAAGCATCCCAAGCTCTTTGAAGCACTGGGTATCGCACAACCCAAGGTGGTCCTGCTGTGTGGACCTCTAGGCACTGGGAAGACACTGTTTGCCTGGGTCATGGCTCATCATATAGACTGTACTTTTGTTCATATCCCTGGCTCTGAATTGGTACAGAAATTCATCAGGGAAGGGCCAAGAATGGTGAGGGAGCTGTCTGTCATGGCATGAGGACCCGCCATCTATCATCAGCTCCATCAACTCCTTGCAGCTGGAGGTGGGTTGTGGAGGGGACAGTGAAGTGCACATCGTGCTGGAGCTGCTCAACCAGCTGGACAGCTTTGAGGCCACCAAGAAGATGGAGGTTATTGTGGACCGCTGCTTTGCTCAGGGCATGTCAACAGAAAAATTGAATTCTAGCTGGACATTTTGAAGATCCATTCTCTGAAAAGGAACCTGACCCAGGGGATCAACCAGAGAAAAATTGCTGAGCTTTTGCCAGGAGCATCAGGGCCTGAAGTGAAAGTCATATACAGAGAAGCCACTGTATATGCCCTGAGGGAACAGCGAGTCCATGTCACCCAGGAGGACTTTGAGATAGCAGTAGCCAGCGTCTTGCAGAAGGATAGAGAGTAAAACATGTCCGTCAAGAAACTAATGGAAGTGCATGGATGTCCTTTCTATGGATCTCTCCGGTAAAGCTTTCTAGAATGAAAAAATAAAATAATTAGCTCTCCAGAATTAACCATAGAGACCATAGAAGACATGGTTAATTTTATTTCAAACGAAAAATGCTAAGAGACATGGTTAAGTTTATTTCAGGTGAAAAATGTTAACAGAAATAAGGTTGAGATGGGGCATTCATCAGCGGAAAAAAAAATAGATGCATATCCTCTTAATTCATCGTCTTTGATTAAAGATTTAACATGTGCCACTCAGTACAGTGGCTACATGTGGCTATTTTAATTTTAATTACATAAATTCACTCCTCAGTCACACGAGCCACATTTCAAGTGCTTAGAAGCCATACACAGACATTCTCATCAACAGGGAAAGGCTGGTTTAATTACTACTATGTTTGGAGCTAGATGCTTAAATAATACCCACTGCAGTGTAAGAGATTTACTTACCTTAATAAAAATCAGTGTGGTGCCACAGTGAGACCTGACTCAATGAGAGGAACAAGTGGCTGAAGAGGTGAGTGGCACAGCATTTCAAAATCACCTGAGAAGAAAATTATACTTAGGATAAGAAAGAACTTATTTCTAGGCCAGGCACGGTGGCTCACGCCTGTTATCCCAGCACTTTGGGAGGCTGAGGCGAGTGGATCACCTGAAGTCAGGAGTTTGAAACCAGCCTGGCCAACATGGTGAAACCCCATCTCTACCAAAAATACAAAAATTAGCCAAGTATGGTGGTGGGCACCTGTAATCCCAGCCACTGGGGAGGCTGAGGCAGGAGAATCGCATGAACCTGGGAGGCAGAGATTGCAGTGAGCCAAGATGGTGCCACTGCACTCCAGTCTGGGCGACAAGAGCGGCGAGACTCCATCTCAAAAAAAAATAAAAAACAAAACCAAACAAAACAAAAACAGAAAAGAAAAAGGATTTATTTCTGCTATGTAGCTTAACCACTGAGACTTTGAGATGCATTTTTTTTTCTTTTTTGAGACAGAGTCTTGCTCTGTCACCCAGGCTAGAGTGCGGTGGCGTGATCTCAGCTCACTGCAACCTCTGCCTCCCGGATTCAAGCAATTCTCCTGCCTCAGTCTCCCAAGTAGCTGGGACTACAGGCGCATGCGGCTATGCCTGGCCAATTTTTTGTATTTTAGTAGAGACGGGGTTTCACTGTGTTGTCCAGGCTGGTCGTGAACTCCTGAGCTCAGGAGAATTTTAGTTTGTGATAATTGTAGATTCACATGCAGTTGTAAGAAGTAACAGAGAATCCGGCCTTCCCTTTATCCAGTTGTCTCCAGGGGCAGCATCTTGTAGAACTGGGACAATATCACAACCAGGATATTGACTGATACATTCCACCACTCTTACTCATATTTTCCCAGTTTTACTTGTCCTCATGTGTTTTTATGTGTGTGGGTGTGGTTGTGTTTGTGTAGTTTTATCACATGAAGATATGTGTTACATTTTGAGAGTTCTTTATATATTCTGGATACTGGTTCTTTGTTAGATATGTTTTGCAAATATTTCTCCCAGTCTATAGATTGTCTTTTCATCCTTTTAACAAAATATTTCAGAGAGCAAAAGTTTTGTCGTGAGGTCCAGTTACCGTTTTTTTCTTTTATATGGTATGCTTTTGATGTCAAATCTAAGAACTCTTTGCCCAGCCCCAGATCCTAAGATTTCCATGTTTTTTCTAAAAGTTTTAGCTGGGTGCAGTGGTGTGCACCTGTGGTCCTGCTACTTGGGGAGGCTGATGCAGGATGATCACTTGAGCCCAGGAGTTTGAGGCTAGCTTGGGCAACATAGTGAGATGGAGCCCCGTCTCAACAAAATAAATAAGAATAAAAATTTTGTAGTTTTACATTTAATTCTGTAATCCATTTTTGAGTTAATTTTTGCAGGAAGTATTAAGTTTAAGTCAGGATTCTTTTAGGTGTATGCTTATGGATGTCTAGTTCCTCTAGCACCACTTCTTCAAAAGCCTGACTCGGTGCCATTGACTGATTTTTTGCATCATTTTCAAAAATCTCTTGGCTTTATTAGTATGGATTTATTTCTGGGAGGTTTTAAAAAAAATTCCACAAAAGTAGACCATGTTTTTTAGAAGATGTGAAAAAGTAGAAAATGAAAAATCTATGAAGTTTTATCAAAGATAAGCTCTGTTAAATTTCCTTCCCATCTTTTTCCTGTGCTTTTTTTTTTTTTTTTTTTGCTGTTGTTTCAAATAAATTCATGCTACATACAAAAAGTTGTGTCCTGCTTTTTAAAAATGCCCATTATTAGCACTTTCCATGTTATTACAAATATTTCTTAATATTATTTTAGTGATCCTTTGATATTCTGTTTTGTGGCATCCTTATGATTTAGGTTTCCAGGTTTTGTTTTTGTTATTTAAAAGACCTCTCTGATTAATATCTTTGCTCAGTAAACCTTTTAGTTAATTGCTAGATTGAAATATATGAATGTTTTTCAGATTCTTGATATTTCATTGCCCCATTGCTTCTGAAGGGGTTTCACCCCATTTACATCTCCACTGTTGTTACATCTTTTAGATTAAAGCAGCATTTAATTTTTTAGAATTTCCCTAAATACTTGTTTAGTTTGAATTTTCAGATTCTGTGCTCGCTTCGGCAGCACATATACTAAAATTGTGAATTTTCAGATTCTATTATTTCTTGTTAGCCCTAAAATTAACTTTAGCTAAGTGAAAATTACATGTAAATGTTAGCGATTGGTACTAAAGTAATATTCAGTAACATTTATTCATATAACAAATGTAATTTGCATCTTATCAACTTGTAATTTATAATAAAATACAGTTGTGAGTTAGAAAAAAATGATTTTTTTAGTTATTGTTTATTTTTTACTTATTTTTGTTTGTTTTCTTTAACAGTCCAGCAGGCTAAGAAGCTTAAAAAAAAAAACTTTCAATGTGATTATTTACTTCAAATTTATGTTTATGCTTTGATTTAAATGTTATTATTTTGCCTCCCTCAAACAGAAAGCGATAGATCTGGCTAGCAAAGCATCGCAAGAAGACAAGGCTGGGAACTACGAAGAAGCCCTTCAGCTCTATCAGCATGCTGTGCAGTATTTTCTTCATGTCGTGAAATGTGAGGCCATCGGTTATATTTTATTTAAAAACATGAAAAGAAAAATTTATTCTATTTCATATCTAAAAAATTGAAATATAATGCCAGAAAATTCTAAACTATCCATTTGTTAAAAAAATTTAAAAAAAAAAAAAGTCCACTTTCTTTCTAGTGATTTTTAAGTAATGAGACTTAGCTAGCAAATGTGACAGCCATCATAGTTATTACTTTGTATACCGAAACATCTTAAAATCTAGTATGGTCAGAGGAAAATAGATTGGGAGACATTTTATTTGTGTCTTTACAGATATGTATTGCATGTTTACCATGTGGCAGGCACTGGGGATACAATAGAAAAAAAATGGATAAAACCCCAGCCTTCATGGCTTTTAAATGGAATGTAGTTGGATAATTGAAGATGTTCTTTTGAACTTCTCTCATTTAGTTTTGAGATTTTATGTTAAAGTGAAACTAAGAATGAGTCATAACCTGTAAGCTATGTGGGGCTCATCCCATCTACTGCATGTGTTGCCAAAGTTCACACTGAAAACAGCTCTGACAGAGGCCTTCATGTAGTAAAATTATGACACTGGTATTACACAGAATGTATGGGATTTCCATCACTTTACTCTTCTGAAATAAAGCTTTTGTAGACATTCATGGAAATGATTAATACTGCTTTCCTTCTATTTGTCTTTCTTATCATTGGGTTTGTGGAAGACAAGCAACTTTGAACTATCTGCAAAAAATGTAAGGGAAGAGTGTGAAAGCTTCAGAATATTAAATAATTTCCTGTTAGTTAACATTAACTTAAAATACCCTGCTGTCTTGCTCAGATTGTTTCTGACTCAGACCCACTGTTGGTCTCCAACCCTGCTGGGGGAAGGGGTAGAAAAGAGGTAATAATCATTGACTACGATGAGTTAGAGATGCTCTTCCCTCCTTCTCCCAACATAGAATTTCCTTGTCTAAAAAATACATATTTAAGAGTTCAAACCTTTTTACACAGAATACTAATGGAAAAAAATCTCTGTCATTTCTCTTTAATAGATGAAGCACAGGGTGATAAAGCCAAGCAAAGTATCAGGGCAAAGTGTACAGAATATCTTGATAGAGCAGAAAAACTAAAGGAGTACCTGAAAAATAAAGAGAAAAAAGCACAGAAGCCAGTGAAAGAAGGACAGCCGAGTCCAGCAGATGAGAAGGGGTACGTGTTTAAAGTTGTTCAATTTTATTGTGGCTTTTAGCTTTTGATTTGTGAAATAAATTTCTTTTGTTTAAAACAGGTGTCAGCAAACTGTGGCTCATGGGCCAAAGCTGCCCAGCTGCCTGTTTTTGTAATAAGTTTTATCAGAACACAGTCGTGCCCATTCTTTTACATATTGTTGTCTAGGGCTGCTTTCGTGCCATGACAACAAAGTTGTGTGGTTGTGTGGAGACTATATGGCCCACGAAACCTAAAATATTTACTTGTTTGGTCCTTTACAAAAAAAGTCTGCTGACCCCTAGTTTGCCAAGCTTAATGGATGATATTCCTCAAACATCGCTTCCTGACTGCCTGCCAGTAGTAGGGGAGAATGCTTGTAGGAACAGCACTCAGTTACCCTGTGGTCTTTAGCTAATATCGAAGCTTAAGATTATAGGAGCGACCTGAAAATTAAACCTTTGACCATATGGAAAAAATGAAAAGTAACTCCAACAATGTAAACTTTTTTCAGATATCTTATGCAAAATTTTTTGATGTGAATTTGTGTTAGACTTGCTTTATGTTGTCATTGTAAAGAAAACAACACAGCACAGCATAACTTATAAACATTGAAGCCGATTTTTGGCATGTCTTCTAGATGGGAGATGTATCACTTCTAGATGCAGAATTTGTTTATTCAGTACATGACATATGCATGCCAAGTTTGTGCTGAGCACTGGGAACATATTCTAACCACATCCTCTCTGGCTCTCCTACTAATTGATGCCAATAGTTCCAGGTAACACACCCTTAAGAAAATGAGACTCTGGAATGGAGTTATCTGGCCTGGTTGGGTTTGAAAGCAGGGAGGTTCTGCTCAGCTTTAGAGGATGCGGTTCTCATTGTTCATGGTATGCAGTGGTACAAGTTACTGAAACGATGCCCTGTGGTCACAAGGAATGAAGTGCCTTTTAGGCAATGCTTTGGGGCTTTGACCGTCTAGAGGGACATGAGGAATATAAGAACCAGTGTTGACTTGGCTGCTTCAAACTAAGTGGCAGAGTTTGAAGGAAATGATAAGCTCAAGCTCAAGGTTTTATATTCTGTGTTCAAGATGTGATCGGGGAACTAGGGAGTTTCTGTGAGACCCTAAAAACATTTTATCTTCTTCATCGATAACATTGACATAACAAAAATCAGATGATAGTCCGATGTGATGAATTACTGAATTTCAACTTAGGGTTTCTTACATGAAAGTGAGGACATTTAGTATAAAACAGGGACTCCAAACATGAAGTGAAAATATTGGGAAGAATTTAGTTGACCGTGACTGCCTGGGACCTCCAGCTCTCACTGAAACTCCCTTGACCGCAGAAGCTTCTCTTCCCTTGTGCATAGAAGCTCTTCTGGTCATGCTTGAAAATCCTGTAAGGATCTCTCTTGAGATAATTACCTGACAAGGTGATGCCAGTTTTTCTCCTGTACTGAACAGCAGTCTTCATTTATAGTAGGACCCACTTTGGCTAATTTAAGCAAAAAGGGATGTATTATAGGTATTACCTTACAGAATAGTGGGGCCAGGGAATCAGACTTGGATCACAAGGAGAAATGGCCAACAGTACCAAGGTTGTTCAAGTAGGGATCCCACCGTTGCCAACAACTCTGCCAAGCACTGATGGTGCTTGGGAGCAGGCAGTAAAACCTCTGCGCAGCTCCCTCAGCAAAACTAGTCTCCTTGTGAGTAGCCCCCACCTTCTTGGAAGAATTTAGGTCTCATGTGGAACCCTAGCTGCAAGGGAGATGAGAAACGGCAGTTTGTTTTTAATAAGGACAGCCTTTATAGTACTGGACAGCATGATAGTAGGAGGTTCAAGTGAGTGTCAAGTGAATCTGTTTTGCAGTGTCTGCCTCACCCACGGCCCCACCATCCTATGATAACCAAGGCAATTCCATTTTGGCATAAAATATGTCATGCTTTTATCCCCCTTTATATGTTATTGTTTTTAAAATGATATAATGCCTTATTTTTGGCTTTATCACTTTTATACTTAACATTGTATCAGGAACATTTTTCCAATAAACTATTTCTACATCGCTTTTAAATGTTGCAATGTATCCTGTCATATGGCTAGTCCCTATAATATGTTACTTTTTCCCTTTTTGCAAACGGTGTGTGTGTGATTATCCTTATGGTCAAATCCTTGAACTTTTCTAAAATTATTTCCTCAAGATAAATTCCTAGATATGAAATGCCTCGATCGACCTACTTGTTCTTTTGAGTGTAGTTCATTGTCCTCAAGAAGCTTCCTCTGTCCTTTGGAACCCCCAGACTAAGGGTTGTACCTTAGATAATTAGTGTTCCAGATTTTTTTCCTCCTAATATGACCTCTTGTTCTAATTTATATCTTGCCCAGTCCTGATGTTTTCACTGTTGTTGCTTGCAACTCTTCTGTTAATTCATCTTGAATCCTTCATGGAGTGATGTGTGGGGCATGCATTTATGAATTAATACATACCTAAATATGTCATGGGAATTTGGAGCTAGTTCCTGACTTCATTCTGGTCTTTTTGTCCCTTTCCTTTACATGATTCTCTATTGATGATAACGTGCCTGCTTCCTATTTTATTTACTACGTTCTTTAAGTAAGCATAGCTTTTAATGTAAATGTCTGATTTTGCCACTTAAATTACAAATATTTCAGGTTATTTTTTCCTTCATTTTTGCCTTATTTGATAGCAATGAGTGATCATTTGAATATATTAAATTCTTTTTATTAGGAATGACAGTGATGGGGAAGGAGAATCTGATGATCCTGAAAAAAAGAAACTACAGAATCAACTTCAAGGTTGCTTTAGATTTCATTTTTAAATTTACTATCCTATTAAAAAGACTCAAAGTGAATTGTCTATTTGAATTGTTTTTGTTCTCCCTCTGTATTTAAATGAAGTTTAAGAGCTGGCTTTGGTTCCCAGTAGTCATGTGCTGGCTTTGTTTAGAGTGTGTTTTAGGGTTTGCCCTCTAGGATCATGGTTTGGCCTTTTTTATATAGTAAAAGTTTTGTTGGCTTCATATCTGCTTTTAAAAGGCTCTCAGTCCACTTGCTCTTTGATTTTGTTTATTTGCCCCCTTTTAGGGAAGGTAACATTTATACTCTTAGCACACTGCAAAATGTGATGGTATTAAAATTTACTACTGTGAGGGGCGCAGAAGTTAGGACTTACACATGGCTTTTATTGCCATTGCTGTAGCTCACTTATTGATAGTTTATTTTGTTTCTTAACTGCTCTTCATCTGCTTTTCAGTGTTCCTGTTTACATTGAAGTGTTTAAGCTTTCTGTGTTTACCTTCCACACCTGTGAAGCCCTTAAATTCTGTTCTGCTATAGCGTAGTGGCATAACCGAGGGGACATAGATTTTTGGCTCCATTCAGATCTTCATTCTGTTCAAGGGTCTGCCACTTAGAAACTTTATAATTGTGAGTGAGTGACTGAGCCTCTCAGAGTCAGAGTCCCTCATCTGTAAAATAGAAATAAGCAATAACTTCCTTTCAGGGCTTTTAAGATTAATGACAGTGTAAAAACTACCTAATATATCTGACGAAGTCTAGGGACTCAATAAATGGTAGCTCTGTTTATCTAAAAAGGCATCTATTTGTTGGCTGGCTTTGTTAGTTGCTGAGATTTGATTATTCTTTGAAATAAATTATCTAACAATTTTTCAGATTGAATTTTTTGCTCACCCGATGGTAGTATGTATTTTGTTCATTTGAATCTTACCAAATAGAATGCATAACTGGAAAGGATTTCCATTTTATAGGTTCAGACTTAGTTACTGAATAGTGAAAATACCTACCTTAACCAAACTTTTAGCCTTGCTATACTAGTGTCTCCGTTTTGGTAATATTTTTGTCTTGCCTACCCTACTGGGATGTCTAGGAAAACACTGTAGGATAATATGTTGACAACAGACCAGGTAATGAGGATAGAAAACATCTTTAGGTGCTAACAACCTCAGTGGTAGGTGTCGTCCAGGAGCGAAAACTTGAGTTTACACTGCTATGTCCCCACCACCTGAAACTGCTGGCATGTACTGCCCACTCAGTTGGCATTTATTGGGTAACCCTGTGGTCTGTGCCAAGTGGCCTTATTCCAGTTGTAAAGCAAGATACTTTTTCTGTCTGCTCTTTTGGTTTTGGTTTTGTTTTCCTGCCCCAGGTAAAAAATCAGTTGTATATCTTTAATTTTGAAAAAGATACATTTTTTTTCTTTTTTGTTTTTCTGAGACCGGCTCTCACTGTGTCGCCCAGGCTGGAGTGCAGTGGCGCGATCATGGCTCACTGCAGCCTCAAACTCCTGGGTTCCAGGGATTCTCCTACCTCAGCCTCATAAGTAGCTGGGAACACAGGCACACACCACCATGCCCCGCTAAGTTGAGTTTTTTTGGTTTTTTACGCGATGGGGTTTGGCCATGTTGCCCAGGCTGCTCTCAAACTCCCAAGCTCAACTGATTGGCCCACTTCAGCCTCCCAGAGTGCTGGGATTACAGTTGTGAGCCACCGCTCTTGGCCGATACAACCAGTTTTTAATAGGGATTTCTCTAAATTCCATATCACTTATAAGGGCCAGAAATGTAAAACAAACAAACAAAACCCAAATACTTAAAACATTTAAATGAGGAAATGTATTTGAAATTTTGGGATGAAATAGAATATGAAAGGAGTCCTAGCCTTTTATGTTTGAATATCCTTTTTTTTTTTTCCTACTTTTTAATGGTTTGCTGCTGGATTTCATACTATTACATATTTTTTGAATTTTTCCTTGTTTTTTGAACAGTATTTTAAATCTTTTACTTCTGTTTTAGATTATGATATGAAGGGTATATTTGTTAAAATTAAGAATTGGTTTGTGATTTGAGTTTTCTGTTAGCTAATTTTATTCAGTGAATTTTTGTGATTAAATAATATACTGGTGTAATAAATAGTATAGTCAAAGACTGGATAAATTTATATCACTGAAGTACATTCCATTTGTTAGCATTTTTCAGTAGTCCTATCCCCCCCTTTTTAGTTTTGCAAACCATGTCTAGTATGAGATTATCAGTAAACATTCCAAAGTCACCTTTTAACTTAAAAGTATTAGTTATATATGAAAACAAATCATGACATATTTTTAAAATTTATAGCAGAAAATCTTGAGTTAGTCGGATGGTGTACATATATAAAATAAGTTTACTTTTGTTTAACTGACATGAAATCCTAGGATTACTAATCTTAAACATAAAAAAGACGAAGTGAATTTACTTTTTTCTTTATAGTAGTCTGAACTTTTGTAATACAAAATGCTTATGATTTCATTTAATTTTAATCTAGTAGCTGAAGATTTTCATAATTTAGGGAAGTTGCTGAGTAACTAGTCTTAGAGTAACAGATTATCTTTCCTAACAAGGAGAAACAATCAGTAGAACTGATTTCATAAAGTAATAGATTGTGTAAGTGGTGGTGTTCTGTTACACTTAAGACAACTAAGTGCATGCCATCTCAGAACAGGCTGCTTCATCTTTTATAGTGGAACAGTTTCCATATTCTAGAAAATTAGAAAAGCTTTCGATAAAAGAGAACTAGAAAATTTGTCAGTAGGCTATATTAAAAGACATCCTTCTTGGACTCTTACTGCAGTAATTGCTTTGGCTTTTAAATATACTGCATTCAGAAGCTAAATCTTCCATGTAAGTTAACTTTGTTAATTAACAAAAGTTGTAAATAGATCTGTTTAGCAGCCAAATAGAAACTTCAGCAAATCTTAGGAAAATACTGCAAATCTGCAGGGGTATATTTTCTCTTTCCCATCATCTGCTTCCATTCCTTCCTTTCCTCTCCCCTTTTCCTTCTCCCTTCTGTCTATCTGCCTATCTTGAGTTAAATTTGTTAAGCATATTTTTTTTTTCAGTGGTTGAGGAGAGGATTAGATCCCCTTTTCTTTTGGTTAACAGGAGAAATGGTAGAACAAGTACTTTTGATACCCCATAATCAATGTATTCAAATATAACCAACTTACGGAACGTTTGGTGCTTTTCCAAACACTCTAATATTCATTATGTCATTTGATTTTTGCACCAACCTATCTAAGTAGTTTGGGCAGATGATATTATTTTCATTTCACAAATGAGGAAGCTGAAACAGAAGGGTAAAGAAACATGCCCCAGGTGATCTAGTCATCCACCTGGTTCCTAGTCCTATTGACTTCTCCCTAACACCTGCTTCCTCCTCACACTATTTCAAAAAGGTTGTTAGTACATAAAACTTTCCCAGACAATTTTATAATGCATTTCCTTAACATCATTATTTCATGTTTTTTTCTAACTTTGGTGAAATAGTCTTTCTTAATTTAAAGATAACATAATTTTTTCTAGGTGCCATTGTTATAGAACGACCAAATGTGAAATGGAGTGACGTTGCTGGACTTGAAGGAGCCAAAGAAGCACTGAAAGAGGCTGTGATACTGCCTATTAAATTTCCTCATCTTTTTACAGGTGACATAACTTTTAAATAATTTTATTTCATGAGTTTGTAAAAGTTCATTGATGACTGAGGCGAAGCATTGTCATTCTTGTCACTAATGAATTATCTTAAATAAATTCATTAGTGACTCTTAAAAGGTGGTGATTTATCTTTATACAAGATGTTTTATTTCTTATACATATCCATATGTGCTGTATATATATTGAAAAACAACCTAAATGTCAACCAGTAGGGTAATTCACCAACATGCAATAGAATACTATGCCCTCAGTAAAACGGAGTGTGCATCTACATTAATAAATTGTAATCTGCATTGTATTTTATTGAAGAATGTCCACATCTATTACAAAGATCAAAAAGCAGTTATAAACTGAATAGTATGATTCCATGTTTGTTAAATGTGTATGCTGAGAAGTAAGTATAATTGGATTGACATAGAAATATTAATGTATGCCTAGGAGATAAGATTATAGGAGATTTTTACTTTTGACTCTCATCTGAATTTTTGCAGTGGTTATATATTATTTTTTTGTTTTTTTGAGACGAAGTCTTGCTCTGTCACCCAGGCTGGAGTGCAGTGGTGCGATATCCGCTCACTGCAAGCTCTGCCTCCTGGGTTCACGCCATTCTCCTGCCTCAGCCTCCCGAGTAGCTGGGACTACAGGCGCGCGCCACCACGCCCAGCTCAATTTTTTGTATTTTTTAGTAGAGATGGGTTTCACTGTGTTAGCCAGGATGGTCTCGATCTCCTGACCTCGTGTTCCTCTCGCCTCGGCCTCCGAAAGTGCTGGGATTACAGGCATGAGCCACCGCGCCTGGCCGGTTATGTATTAATTTTTAAAGAGTATTTCCATTTCTTAAAATGAGAGGTAAGAATCACTTAACAGCTTCAGAGGAAGTGCATATCCTCTAGTAGCAAAACAACATTTCATTATCACTGTGAAGAGAATATTGCTGACCTACCATCTGGGGAAACTTACAAGTTCTAGTTCCAGCAGTAAGTGATATGTCTGTGCTAAACCATTCCTTTATATTATCCTTCTTGTGACTGATAGTCTGTGTCTGTAATATGGCCACACCCACAATCTGACGGTCAGACAGAGGTTTTCCTTTTATAAACATGTTGGTTTATGTCAACAGCAAATCTGTAATGTAGGCCTCAGGCTGAGCAGTCCAGACAGTCGTATCATATAGAGCAGTGATGAAGAGCAAAAAGCCAGTAGGTCACGCACTGTCCACCTAACTTCAAGGTGTAGTTTACAACCCAACTTCAGGAGTATGAAACTAACAGCATAAAAGTTGACATCGTAATCCTAGAAAAGCACAAAAATATGGTTGAACTCATTTTATGGTATATTACTTATACCAGTTTTTCTCAAACATAAGTCGTTTATGTATCATCTTCATGAATTTTTCCATGTGTGTGTACCATTACTTTTTCTTTGCTTATTTTTTTAGAACAGCATTTTTACTGGAGCATAGCATAAATATACAGAGACATACAGGAGCCCCTGGGTGTTGGGCTTCCTTAGTTATCACAAAGCAAGCATGCCAGTGTCATCAGCCAGATCCAGAAATAACAGCATTGCTAGGGACCTGGCAGGAGCCTTCTGCCTCATTCCTCCCCAGAGGTCATCTCTCTCTCAACTTTTAACACCAGAGATTATTTTGCCTGTATTTGAACTTTAAATCATCTCACATATTTTTACTTAGTAACGTTATTGAAAAGACTTTGTGCCTATTATAAGTGAAAAAAGTGTTTTCCTAATACACGTTAAAAAATTAAAAAGTGTATACCACCTAAAAGTATTTCATGTTATACCAGTGGTATATGTACCATACTTAGACACTGATTTGTAAATGTATACATTTGAAATAAGAAAATGAAATTCAAGTAATAGTTGCTTTCATAACAGTTAAGTGAAATAGTATTACTCATCTGCGTATCATCCTTTTGCAGATACTGTGTATATAGCCATAGTTTGCACCTAGCAGTTTTTTGTTTGTTTGTTTTTTTCTTTTCTTGAGACAGAGTTTCACTCTTGTTGCCCAGGCTGGAATGTAATGGCGAGGTCTTGGCTCACTGCAACCTCCACTTCCCGAGTTCAAACAATTGTCCTGCCTCAGCCTCCCTAGTATTTGGGATTACAGGCATCTGCCACCACACCCAGCTAATTTTTGTATTTTTACTAGAGTCGGAGTTTCACCATGTTGGCCACGCTTGTCCCGAGCTCCTGACCTCAGGTGATCTGCCCGTCTCGGCCTCTCAAAGTGCTGGGATTACATACGTGAGCCACTGTGCCCGGCCATAGTTTTTTAAATGTATGTTTGATAATTTACTGCCAGCTGTAACCCAGCCTGTTTTATTTTAGGCAGAATTATAATTGCTCATTAGCAAAGTTGAGGCACAAAGAGTTGATGTATTCACTGGTTATATTTTGGCAAAACTAGGATTTAAGGTAGCATCACCTTTTTGTTACCCAACCATGGAAGTCTGCTACCTAGATGGGCGCGGTGGCTCACGCCTGTAATTCCAGCATTTTGGGAGGCTGAAGTAGGCGGATCACGTGAGGTCAGGAGTTCAAGACTGATCAACATGGTGAAACCCCATCTCTACTAAAATACAAAAACTAGCCAAGCATAGTGGTGGACGCCTGTAATTTCAGCTACTTGGGAGGCTGAGGCGGGAGAATCACTTGAAACCAGGAGGCAGAGGTTGCAGTGAGCCGAGATAGCACCATTGCACTCCACCCTGGGCAACAAGAGTGAGACTCCGTCTCAAACAAAATAAAAGGAAGTCTGCTACCTGTAACACTAACCTGTGCTTTCCTGTGGAATCAAGAATTCAGCAGAAACTCATAAGTCATCCAAACTTTGTTAGGTTCACTTTTCTAAAGAGCATAAATATTGAAAGAAAATCTCTTCCAGCTGCCCATTTTTTACGGGTGTAGTTTTTGTACAATATTCTGGTATCAAGCTGTGCACACAGTGGATGATCAGAAAGTACCTTTTCACTGAACTCTTTCCCCCTATAGACTCCATGCAGGGCAGCAATCCTTTTGCCTGTGCACATGTTATGGTTTTGATACATCCTGGTTGAATGAATGAGCAAACAAATGTACTTCCTGTTAGAAGGCTTATGTTATGTAAGTGTGTTTTTGATAAAGTAGTCTCTAGAAGAAACAAAATACATTTAAGACATACCTTAGATTGATTTATTTTTAAAATATTGTTTTAATCCTTACAGGTTTAGAGTGAAAATCTTTTCAGAGTATTCCTCCGTATAGATGATGTCAGTGGTAACTGCAATTAAGTGTTAAAATTCTTGTGACATTTTTCTAAATGTAAATTTTAGGCAAGAGAACACCTTGGAGGGGAATCCTATTATTTGGGCCGCCTGGAACAGGAAAGTCCTACTTAGCCAAAGCTGTAGCAACAGAAGCCAACAACTCAACATTTTTTTCAATATCTTCCTCTGATCTTGTTTCTAAGTGGCTAGGTGAAAGCGAAAAGTAAGTAGTAAATCAATTTTTAAAGTTTTTTCTTTGCCTGTAATTACTGTATCAGTCCTTAATAGATTTCTTACATCATTCATAGATATTCAGAGAAGTGATGTAATGTAAGTACTCAGTTCTCTGTCAAATCAGTCTCTAATCTAGAATTTATTTTGTGGGAAAAGATAGCATATATGTACAACCTAGTAAATCAAAGTGAGTTATCCAGTTGTAGCATTCTTATTTTCTGTACCTGAAACATGATTAGGCTTTTTAATCTACACAGTTCGTGTAATATTGATACATTGCTTTGTTTTACTCTTTTACTATTTTTTAGACACTTAAAGTTTTCATTTATTTTTAGACTGGTTAAGAATTTATTCCAACTTGCCAGAGAGAACAAGCCCTCCATTATCTTCATTGATGAAATTGATTCTCTATGTGGTTCAAGAAGTGAAAACGAAAGTGAAGCCGCACGTAGAATTAAGACGGAGTTCCTAGTGCAAATGCAAGGTAGTGTTACTAATTTTTTTTTTTTTTGAGACAGAGTCTCACTCTGTCGCCAGGCTGGAGTGCAGTGGCGCAATCTCGGCTCACTGCAACCTCCACCTCCCGGGTTCAAGCGATTCTCCTGCCTCAGCCTCCTGAGTAGCTGGGATTACAGGCACGCATCACCATGCCTGGCTAATTTAATGTTACTAATTTTTAAAGTCGTCTTTGTTTATTTTATAACACTTTTTATAACAGTAATAAAAAATTCAAGCAGAATTTCTCCATTCTAACAAACTGTTTCATTTTGCCATGTTTCATTCCGTTGTCTTCCATATGCATACATGATTTTTACTCAGTTGTAATTATCTTGTAGGACTCACTGACATAAATAGAAAAGAGTTTTAATATATTCATTTATAGTGTACCAGCAGCAACTTCAGTAAAAGTAATATGTAGACTTCAAATGAAATATTTCAAGAAATATTTTGAAATGAATGTTAATAGTATTTGTCCACAGTCTGGGAGATTTGATGCTTACATTTGCATCATCCTGCATCATAGTGAATTTGGATCATATTGCTGTAAGGTGATATTTGATTAAATACAGTTTTTTTTCAAAGACCCTCAAGATGAGGCACTTTAATGGTAAAGCATCACATTTCTTAACAGAATATATGGAAGAGGTTTAAAGAACAGCAAAATGACAAATTAATTAAAGCATTACCTATTTTAATGCAGGGGTTGGTGTAGACAATGATGGAATTTTGGTTCTGGGAGCTACAAATATACCCTGGGTTCTGGATTCTGCCATTAGGCGAAGGTAGGATAATACAGTAAATGTCTTATTTCTCACCGCAGATGTAACAAGTAGATGATAATTCCCTTTTTGTCATGTGAGGAGGCATTCTAACAACTTTTCAAAAGATTTGTAGTGTACTCTAACCCTGTCGCTCCCCTGCCTTGAGGGGGAGAAGGGTGCTTATTTGCTTGTTTGTTTCCCTATTTTATCAAATATACAAGATTTCCACATACTTGAGTCTTTCATATTAGAAAATATATTACATAATGTTTACCTTTCATTCTGATTAAGCTTGGTGGGCACTGATGCTTCAAAAATTTACAAACATAGTTTGACAATTCAGTAAAAACCATTCATATAAAATTTTAGCAAAATGGCAATTCTATAAGTCAGAGTAAGATAACCAGGTAAGAGTCGGAGTCTCGCTCTGTTGCCAGGCTGAAGTGCAGTGGCGCAATCTCTGCTCACTGCAACCTCCACCTCCCAGGTTCAAGCGATTCTCCTGCCTCAGCCTCCCGAGTAGCTGGGACTATAGGCACGCACCACCACGCCCAGCTAATTTTTCTATTTTTAGTAGAGACGGGGTTTCCCCATGTTGGCCAGGATGGTCTCGATCTCTTGACCTCGTGATCCACCCACCACGGGCTCCTAGAGTGCTAGGATTACGGATGTGAACCACCACACCCGGCCAAGATTTTTTTTTTTTTTTTTTTAAGTAAAAAATGTATGTCAGGCCAGGTGCGGTGGCTCGTGCCTGTAATCCCAGCACTTTGGGAGGCCGAGGTAGGCAGATTGCCTGAGCTCAGGAGTTCAGAACCACCCTGGGCAACATGGTGAAACTCTGTCTCTACTAAAATCCAAAAAAATTACCTGGGCATGGTGGCACACACCTGTCTGTAGTTCCAGCTACTTGGGAAGCTGAGGTGGGAGAATCGCTTGAGCCCAGGAGGCGGAGGTTGCAGTGAGCCAAGATTGTGCCACTGCACTACCAGCTTGGGCAACAGAGTGAGACTCCATCTCAAAAATAAAATATGTGTGTGTGTGTATATATCTATCTAATTTTTAAGTTGAAAATAAAACTTCAGCTCTAGGAAAGGTATATGGACTCTTCACTTTTCACTCTTCACAGTTCCCTAGTACATTCATTTATTTTGTATGGTAAAAATTAGCACTTCAGTTTTTGCCACTTTTATCCCATTCACTTGATGATTTGCCAGCATGCTAGCTTACCATCCAGTACCAAGAAAGGAAATGTGCAGGGTATTTTTGGAAAATTGCCTTATTCTGCACCCATCTCTAGAGGCAATGGAAACTTAAAATTCTTTTCATTGCCACAGAGAGTTACCTGGAGGAAAAACAGTCTGCTCAGACCACTTAAATTATCCCTCATCGCTGCTTCTCTATCTCCAAATACATTCTAAGAAGGCAAGCAAAATTATTGTTAATGAAACATAGTGTTTATTTTTTATAATATAGGATTGTTTGTTCTGGATGTATTCATTAAAGTGGACATTTTGTGTAATGTATATCCTATAAGATTGTGAGTTAATTCTATTTTGAATGTAGAGAATTACTGTGTCATCTCTACTTCTATTTTATATTGTTAATCATTAGTCCCTTGATCAAGAGTTCACAGTACAATTTTGTGGGAAACTGTAATCCTGTAGGACCTCTTTTTATTTCATGAATTCCAGACATATGAACACTGTGGCCAAAATAACCCAAAAATCATGCGCGAAATATTCAACCACTCCAAACTGGCTCCCAGGCTATTTTGATTTTATTTGTTTGTTTTTAATGTGTTCTGGATGTTCTCCCTTGAACCGAAATATATATGTTTAACCTTGGCACATACATGCCCACTTAACTTAGTATCTGTTTCTCCTTGCAAATATCCTAATTTTCAATTAAATATTTCCTTGATGTAATTTCTCTTTTAAGATTTGAGAAACGAATTTATATTCCTTTGCCGGAACCCCATGCCCGAGCAGCAATGTTTAAACTGCACCTGGGGACCACTCAGAACAGTCTCACGGAAGCAGACTTTCGGGAACTTGGGAAGAAGACAGATGGTTATTCAGGGGCAGATATAAGTATCATTGTACGTGATGCACTTATGCAGCCTGTTAGGAAAGTACAGTCAGCTACTCATTTTAAAAAGGTAAGTCATTTTTATCTATCCTTTCCTATCTTTTTTTTTTTTTTTTTTTTTTTGAGACAGTCTCACTCTGTTGCCCAGGCTGGAGTGCAGTGGCACTATCTTGGCTCTCTGCAACCTCCACCCCCCAGGTTCAAGCGATTCTCATGCCTTAGCCTCCTGCATAGCTGGGATTACAGGCGTGTGCCACCATGTCTGGCTAATTTTTTGTATTTTTAGTTGAGACGGGGTTTCACCATGTTGACCAGGCTCGTCTCAAACTCCTGGCTCCAGATGATCCACCCACCTCGGCCTCCCAAAGGCGTGAGCCACTGCACCTGGCCCCTTTCCTATATTTTTAAAATCAAGTTTCAAGATCATCATTGGTTTGTCTTCAAAGAATTTGGGAGGGTTTCAGTGTTGTATAATAATACAATAAGTGGGTTTACATAATAGACATATTTCTATGTCACTGAAACAAGTTCTTCAATAAAGTTTATTAGCCATTATTGGCTGGGTGCAGTGGCTCACACCTGTAATCCTAGCACTTTAGGAGGCTGGAGTGGGCAGATCTCTTGAGCTCAGGAGTTCAAGACCAGCCTCAGGCAACACGGCAAAACCCCATTTCTATAAAAAATAGAAAAATTACCTGGATGTGGTGGCGCACTCCGGTAATTCCCAGCTACTTGGGAGGCTGAAGTGGGAGCATCACTTGAGCCCAGGAGGTGGAGGTTGCAGTGAGCCGAGATTGCACCAGTGCACTCCAGCCTGGGTGACATAGTGAGAGCCTGTCTTAAAAAAAGAAAGGCCTTATTAATCATCCTAATGTGTTTTAAATTTTCCTGTGAAATGAGCTTTGAAGTATTTGTGTATTATTTTGATGTAAGTATAGAAACTTAAATGTATAGATGTCAGGCTGCTTCTGACACATCTAGAATATTTTTGAGCAGAATCTGGTGCATTTATATCTCATAAAGGAAAACTAGTAATAGCTAATATCTTTTAAATATTCACATGCCTGGCACTGTGTTCTTTTATTATTTCATTTGTTCTTCACAAAAACAACAAGAGGTACATGTAGCCAGCCACCTACTGGTGGTTAGTCTTGGACTTAGGTGCTAACACAGTAGCTAGAGTGGTTCACATGTGATTTGTCTGGAGATGAGGTTTCTGAATCCGAAATCTCAACCATTCTGCTATCCTGCCCCTCCTGTGTTCTGTTTTGTCTGCAAGAACAAGTTAAGCATCTATGGCTGAGATGAAGTTTTATAAAAAGACTGTGGTCTTGAGATACACAGTTTGAGTAACAGTGTACTGGGTCATCTGGACCAACCCTTTTGCTGTGAACAGCAGTATCCAGTATTACTCATGAACATAGATGTGGAATACTATCGCAAACCTAATCTCATAATGTATGTCAAGACTAATATGACTAAGTCACATATGTATGTTTATCATATACCACAATAAGATTTTTTAGGTTAACAAGCTTGAATTAAAATCTGAATTTGAAACCTGGCACCATTTACTTGTTATACCTTTTTGAGCGAATTCTATTACTTCTTGAAGGCTCATTTTTATCATCTCTAAAATGGGGATGATCATGCTATTTTGAAGTCCTTTCTGATAATGAAGTGATATAATACTTATAAAACACCAGTCGTGATACTGCAGATGCCCAGTATTACTCATCCACCCTTCTTTAGCCATTTCATTACCAAAATACTGTTAAGTTTATGCCACAGCCATTATGTTTTCTCTTAAATTCTCTTTGCCATTTAGAAACTATAAATGCATAGGAACTCAGTCCTTTCCTACTCAGAATTGATCACTCGATTCTGCATGTTACTGCCTGAGTGAGCTCACATGACGCTGAAGCCAGGTCCCTGTTAGTGGGATGAAGATAACACAGCCAGATGAGGTTTATCTCTGCGACTGGGGATCAGCAGCTGCAGCAGACCTCTCAGCGGCTCCATCTTTTACTTCTTTTAAAGCTGATTATTTCAATTAACAATAAGATTCCCTGTTTATTTTTTGCATTTACTAGTATTTTATTTTTAAAATACTAATCTGGGCCCAGCGGTACATCAGAAAGTAGAGCAGTCAAAAGAGACAAAAATCCCTGACCTCATGCAGCTAAAATATTAGTGAGTAAAGACAGACAATAAAATACACATAATAAGGTGAGAGCGTGTATTTCTTCACACCTGCACCAATCCTGAGATAATATTTAAAGTCGATCATTGTGAAACAGATGTGAAAGTGCCCCCAAGTTGGCTGGGCGTGGTGGCTCACGCCTGTAATCCCACCACTTTGGGAGGCTAAGGTGGGCGGATCACGAGGTCAGGGGTTTAAGACCAGCCTGGCCATCATGGTGAAACCCTGTCTCTACTGAAAATACAAAAATTATCTGGGCGTCGTGGCGGGTGCCTATAATCCCAGCTACTCAGGAGGCTGAGGCAGGAGAATTGCTTGAACCCTGGAGGCGGAGGTTGCAGTGAGCCAAGATTGCGCCACTGCCCTCCAGCCTGGGCGACAGAGCAAGACTCTGTCAAAAAAAAAAAGAAAGTGCCCCCAAGTTGATGCAGACTATTGCCATCTAAATGTTTCCATGTGACTATGTCACAAAGATTCTTTTTCTGGATATTGTTAAAACTGAAGTTGTGGCCGGGCATAGTGGCTCACGCCTGTAATCCCAGCACTTTGGGAGGCTGAGGCAGGCAGATCATGAGGTCAGGAGATCAAGACCATCCTGGCTAACGTGCTGAAACCCCGTCTCTACTAAAAATACAAAAAAAAAAAAAATTAGCTGGATGTGGTGGCGGGCACCTGTAGTCCCAGCTACTCGGGAAGCTGAAGTAGGAGAATGGCGTGAACCCAGGAGGCGGAGTTTACAGTGAGCCGAGATCGCATCACTGCACTCCATGCTGGGCAACAGAGTGAGACTCTGTCTCAAAACAAAACAAAACAAAACAAAACAAACTTAAGTTGTACATGATAAAATGGCATTGATACTGCATTTAGCATATAATTTTGCACTTAGATTTGAGAGCATTTTTGTTGAAAGATACAGATTCAGTAGTTTCATACTAAAGTTCCAAATATTACAGAAGTTTCTCAGCTATAGAGCAACTTCTGAGAATTTTTTAATGTATCTGTTTTTGGTCTCTGAGATTACTACCACTTATTAAGCACTGGAGGGGTAAAAGAGAAAGCTTAGACACAGGTAACTATTTCTTTTTTTTAACTTCTATGTGTGATCATATAAGTAATTTATTGTAGGAAATTTCAAAATACAGAAAAGCATCAAGAAAAAAAGTAAAAGCAGCTGGGCGCGGTGGCTCACTCCTGTAATCCCAGCACTTTGGGAGGCCGAGGTGGGCGGATCATGAGGTCAGGAGATTGAGACCATCGTGGCCAACATGGTGAAACCCTGTCTCTCCTAAAAGTAAAAAAAAAAATTAGCTGGGTGTGGTGGCACGTGCCTGTAATTCCAGCTACTCGGGAGGCTGAGGCACAAGAATCACTTGAACCCGGGAGGCGGAGGTTACAGTGAGCCGACATCGCGCCACTTCACTCCAGCCTGCTGACAGAGCGAGACACCCTTTCAAAAAAAAAAATTAAAAGCAACCAAAATCTATCCTGTTACCCAGGGGATAACTACTTTTTGTTGTATATTCTTAATTTTTTTTCCCAGAAGTAAACATTAAACATACAAAACTATTACACATTTTAACTTGCCTGATAATGGATTAAATCTTAATGTTCAATTTTGTTTCAAATAAATATTTCAGATTACTGTTTATTTCAGGTTCGCGGACCTTCCCGAGCTGATCCTAACCATCTTGTAGATGATCTGCTAACACCTTGCTCTCCAGGTGACCCTGGTGCCATTGAAATGACATGGATGGATGTCCCTGGAGATAAACTTTTGGAGCCAGTTGTTTCCATGGTTTGAAATTTTGTTCGTTTTTAAGAAAAATTTTAAAACATTATAATTTTCAGTTATATAATATTTGCTGGAAAATCTTACTATTAAACAGATATATTTTAATACTGTTGACTCACATTAGAAATTATAAAGTTAATTGAACTTAAAATATAAAAAGTAATTATTTTTAAACTATTTTCTTGGGTTTTGAGGAAACTTTAAGTGAAAAAGCTATTTTTTAAAGCACAAGATTCTGACTTTACAGGTCTTACAGCTAGAATATCTCCAAAATGCTCATATATAGTATAATGATTGCCAAAACCTAACTAAAAAAATCGGATTGGTGAAATTTTTTTTTCCCTGCATCTCAGATTTTTTAAAATAACCAGAAGTTGCCTGTAATCCCAACACTTTGGGAGGCCAAGGCGGGCAGACCACTTGAGGCCAGGAGTTTGAAACCAGCCTGGCCAACCTGGCGAAATGCTGTCTCTCCTAAAAATACAAAAACTAGCCGGGCAGTGTGGCACATACCTATAATCCAGCTGCTCGGTTGAGGCAGGAGAATCACACGAACGAGGGAGGCAGAGGTTGCAGTGAGCTGAGATTGCGCGACTGCACTCCAGCCTGGGTGACAGAGTGAGACTCTGTCTCAAAAAAAAAAAAAAAAAACAGGGCTGGGCACGGTGGCTCACGCCTGTAATCCCAATACTTTCGGAGGCCAAGGCGGGCTGTTCACAGATTTAGGAGATCGAGACCATCCTGGATAACACGGTGAAACCCCGTCTCTACTAAAAATACAAAAAAATTAGCCGGGTGTGGTGGCACGCACGTGTAGTCCCAGCTACTCGGGAGGCTGAGGCAGGATAATGGCTTGAACCCAGGAGGCGGAGGTTGCAGTGAGCCGAGATCACACCACTGCACTCCAGCCTGGGCAACAGAGCGAGACTCTGTCTCAAAAAAACAAACAAAACAAATACTAATGCTCGTATCATCATATTTATAGTGTTTTCTAGTTCACTTTTCAAAGGTCCATAGAAAGTTTAAATAATGTAGTTCTATTTTTATTTTTAAAAATTACAGTTACATAGTTTATATTGGAGGAATTAATATATGACTTATTTTGTAAGGCGTGTTATTTTTAGGGAACTTAGGGTGATTGAAAAGTTGATTACTTATGGAAGAACATTCTCAGTTTTCAGAATTTTCCGTCAGTTTCAGATCTTTAAGGACTTTTAATGGCGGGTTTAATAGTAACTTCCAGAGGAGAAACTTTTACCTGATACATAGACATACATGTAAATGTGTACACGCCTATATATTTGTGTGTGAACCAACCATAATGCTTATCTGAGAAGTTACTCAGAAACCCCTTTTGTTTTAATCCTTGGTGTATTATTTTTTATTTTTTGTACTTTGTTCAACTTTGAAGAATTTTTAGTGACTTAGAGTAGTCCTCTTTATTATTTTTCATATCGTTTTACAGGAGTCTTGGCTTAGAAGTTAGTTTTTTAATGAATCTCTGATATTAGCATATTTTTCTAACCATTTCAATCTTAATTGTAACTATGGTAAAATTCTGGTTAGTTGATTTTTCATAAAATGGTATTCTGCTTCACTTACGTGTAAGTGAATGATATTTACCTTTTGAACTATACTTACTTAGAAAACTGATCTCTTGTTTAAGAAAAAGAGATAAGGCCAGAAATTAGATCATGAACATACTTTGGAGGCCTTGATCCTCAGACTAAGAGGAATGTCCTTCTGATAATGGGGAGCCGTTTGATCAATGCAGGGTAAGAAAGTGTAAGTTTCTACACAAAGTAATAACATGATCAAAGATCTTGAAAGATCTGTGAAAGAATAGGGGCCGGATGCGGTGGCTCACGCCTGTAATCCCAACATTTTGCAAGGCAGAAGCAGGCGGATCACCTGAGGTCAGGAGTTTGAGACCAGCCTGACCAACAGGGAAACCCCATCTCTACTAAAAATACAAAAATTAGCCAGTCATGGTGGCAGGTGCCTGTAATCCCAGCTACTTCGAGGCTGAGGCAGGAGAATCGCTTGAACGTAGGAGAAAGAGGTTGCAATGAGCCAAGATCACACCACTGCACTCCAGCCTGAGCAACAGAGTGAGACTCTGACTCAAAAAAAAGAACAGGGAGTTTATTGTCAGTATCTTATGGTAGACGGCAAATATTCATATTTAAACTTAGGTTAAAGTTCATAACAATCATGATAATATGACGGTTTTTTATTTTGTTAACTCTATTATTAATATCCTCCCTGCCCTTCTTTTTCCCTGACAGTCGGATATGTTGCGGTCACTATCTAACACAAAACCTACAGTCAATGAACATGACTTGTTGAAATTAAAGAAGTTTACAGAAGATTTTGGTCAAGAAGGCTAAACCAAAGACAAGGAAGATGCTTACCCATATGTATTCTTTCTTTCATAGATATTTTTGTCTATTTTGGATCGCATTGATTGTTTCCAGTAAAACACTTTTACCACAGGGAAATACACATCTCACTTCAGAATTCCATTAGGTTTTATATTGTACTTTTCCTCCATTACTTATTAAATACTCCTATTAACAAAATGTACAAAACAACAGGTTATGAGGAAATGAGCGATATATGAATGGCAAAAAATAGAAATTACCCAGTAGAAAGGATGTCAGAAATTGATTGACATACAAATATTTAAAATTTTTATGAATAGTGGTCTTTGCAAAGAGCATTTATCTTTTTTTTTTACTAAAATGATATAGGGTTTATTTTATATTTTCAAAAAAATTGTTAAACATTCTTATCAATGTAAAATTTACGTTATTAAAAAATTACAAATGATAGAATCTTTACTCTCAGGGATGGGCAATAAAACAGCAAAGAGCATTGTGATTGGGTTTGAAAGATTGTGAATTATAGACAGTGCTCTTACTGGTTTTTAATAAGTTGATATTTTTTTCTGTGTAGATTTAAATAATTTCTTTAAAATAAGTAAGCTTTGACTGGGCGTGGTGGCTCATGCCTGTAATCCCAGCACTTTGGGAGGCCAAGACGGGTGGATCACCTGAGGCCAGGAGTTCAAGACAGCCTGACCAACATGGTGAAATGCTGTCTCTACTAAAAATATAAAAATTAGCTGGGCACGATGGCGGGTGCCTGTAATCCCAGCTACTCAGGAGCCTGAGGCGGGAGAATCACTTGAACCTGGGAGGCGGAGGTTGCAGTGAGCCGAGATCGCACCATTGCACTCCCTGGGCGACTGAACGAAACTCTGTCTCAAAAAAACAACAACAGTAAGCTTTTATATTTAATTAAATGATACCTTTCACTGTGCAATCTCAAGAGGAAGATTTTCTAAATTAGACATTGTCTTTACCTTAAATAAGAAAATTGTCTATTTCAGTGTCTTTTTGTAGCAAGATTGACCAAAACAGGTGGTAAGTGTGTAATTTTTAACTGTCATGAAATACTGTAATGCTAGTAAGGAAATGGTCTCCCTTTGGATTATGGGAAGTTTCTTGTCTGTGATATGGGGTGTCTGTGTACATATATGTATATTTCCTTTTTTAATACAGGATAATAATATGGGGTCTTGTCCTTCACCTTTTAAGTTCAGGGAGCAGTTTGTCCTGACCACACATATGTTATCAGTGTAATGCTTTATGAAGCTTTAGAAATGAGCTCATGACTCATTAAAAAATAAACATGATACTATTTTAATATTTTCAAATAAATAATCTGAGGATGTGTTTCATACTTTAGCATCAGCGCTAAGTTGTGCCTTGTAGATTTGCATTGTCTATACATGCAAAAGACTATTAAGTTAGAATGAAGTAGACTCCTTAATTACTATGAAATTCTATCTTGCAAATGCTCTAGAATAACTTGCATTTTAAAGTGTATTTGCACATTTTACATATGCTATGTGGTTGCCTTTGGGTTTTCTGTACAGATTGTTTTTGTTATTAAATGGAAAAGGCCTGAATTATGCTCTTATGTGAAGTAAATCGATAAAACCCATTGACTGTATTCTGTGTATTCTTTATTTTGGGACCATCTGTGTAAAAGAAAACATTACCTACATTGGTTAGATACAAAGAAATCATTAAAATTATTAATGTATACATGAAAATTCTGTTTTTCAATGACTTTTATGCACGGGTTGAGAACTAACTTAGTAGACTAACACTGAATTCTTTGTGGATAAGGTAATTTATACATCTTACCTGTTTAGCTGCCTCAGAATTATACAGTACTGCTGTGTGTTCTTTATGCACAGATACTCAAAGGAACCCGAATGGGCATGTTCTATTTTTCTGGCTCTTGACCAGTAATTATGAAGTTTAGGTAGACGTTTTCTGAGCCAGCAAGTAGATCATAGTTGTTAAGCATCTCTATGATCTACACCCTGGATATTTGAAAGCCTTTTGTCTCACCTTGAGAAATCTAGAAGGACTCTAATTATAAAACATGTCAATAGAGGATTGACTTCTGAGTCTGCTGTCGACTACATGCAGAAAAACAGAATGGGTGTACGTGATTAGTGCCACAGAAGCACCATTTAGCCACTTCTATGAGAAAGAGGCATATCTGCCTGATGGTACAGTGTCTTGCAAATGAAGCAACACAGTGCCTATTGTTGACACTGATGTTATCTGAAGTTTGTGAGTTTTCACAGGTGCCCTTTTCTTTCCTACTTTCATGCCTTCATTTGTATCCTTCTCTTATTCTAATATGGTATCTTTTTTTTTTTTTTTTTGCTAGTCCACGTATTTCCATTAAAACCTAATGATGAACCGTGTAGCCTCTTGCAGGAAGACCACCTAAACTATCCCCATCCTAGTTTTGCCAACTGCTAAAGAATTAGCAGTTAAATTGCTGCTGCTGTGTTGAGATTTTTTTCTGTTTGAAGCATGTTCTATTAACCATGTTTAGATCATTTAGACTGTAAGTTCTGAGAGTTACATTTTCCCTAGCAATTAATATATTGCTGGATGCTATTAGGTACTTAGTATTGGAAAAAAAGGAGTTATGTTTTAATTTTGATCTACCTCGTGGATTATGTGAGAGATTTATAACATAGGTAAGTTTATAAAGTGACTTTGTTCTTACTTGTCTAGTGAAGTTATGATAAATTTCTGTCTTGGTGATTGAGAACTACAAAATCAAAAATGTGTTCAAACTAGCTCACCCTGGCTCACCAAAACCGATAGTACCTCTTTCCCAGCTGCGAGTTCAGTGACCTCATACTAGAAATTTAAAGTCTGCTGTGATGGGAATATTTATACCATAGAAATCAGCAAGAGTTCAGTTAGCCATAAAAAACAAGGATTGCCTGTAACTTAAAATAGGAAGATTAATACTATTTACTGCATTTACAGAAATAAAGGAGACAAGTTATTTATAGATGCATAAAAAGCAATACAATTCAGCACTTGCTTTTTTTTGAACTGCACAAACTAGGAATAGAAGGGAACTTCTTAATAGAAGAAGATCTAGAGAAAAACCCTATAGCCAACGTATTTAATTGTGAATTTTTGAAAAGTTTATTCCCCCAGAGATCAGGAAAAAGGCAAAGTTACCCACTATCACCACTTTTTCTCAACTTTATACAGATTCTAGCCAGTGCAAGCAAAAGAAATGAAAGTCTTACAGATTAAAAGAAGAAACAAAATTGTCATTCACAGATGACATGATTGTAGAAAATTGATATAAACTTACAGAAATAATTTAACAAGGTTGCAGGATACAAAGTCAAAAATTATTTATCTTAGCAACAATTAGAAATTGAAATTATGAGAGTGGTATGTGCCCATAGTCCCAACTATTGGGGAATTGAAGTGGGAGGATCACTTGAGCCCAGGAGTTCAAGGCTGCAGTGAGCTATTGTCACACCACTGCACTCCAGCCTGGGTGAGGGAACGAGACTGTCTCAAAAAAAAAAAAAAAATACTAATTACAATAATATCAGCATCAAATGCCTCAAAATTAATCTACTCAAAGATTGGCAAGACTGCCACGTAGAAAACTATGGAACGTTACCAAAAGACACTAAGGAAGACCTAAATAAGAGGGGGGTGGACCCTGTTTATGAGATGGATGACTTACAAAAAACAAAGTCAATTTAACCAATTCAATTTGTAGATTTAATGCAATTCCAAATCTGGATCTGGGTGGTTGATACAAAGGTGTATGTGTGTGTATGTGAAAACTCATATGCTTTATGCTGTACATTTATATCCAGATATGTAGATATCCAGGAATAGGTACTAAATAATTTACTGATTATTAAAAATCTTTTCTAGTTTGAATTGTTTTTATGATAGTGTCTCCTAAGTATATTTTTCTGTCCATCCATCCATAATCATTCATCCAGAAATCTACATGTTCACATAGACATCTGGAATGTCTTCCACATAATACTCATGATGTTATTAGATTGATTTTTTTTTTTTTTTTTAACTTACTTTACCTCTCGTATCTCCTTCAGGTCTATTCCGGTGTCTCTTTTTCAGTGACACCTTCCTTGGCCATCCTACTGAAAATGACAAACCCTCCTGGTGCTCCTTATCCCCATCCCTGGCTGTATTTTTCCCCATAGTGCTTGTCATCTAACATACGATATAATTTACTATTTTCCTTATGTGATTTCTCCCACTAACATGTATGCTATGAAATCAGAGTTTCTTGTCTGTTTTGTTCTCTGCTGTATCTCCAGTGTCTAGAAGAGTGCTGGTGCCTGATGGGGGTTCAACAAATATTTGTTGAGTGAATGAAACTTACTTTGTATTCTTTCTAAATTTGTACAATCAGCATGTGTAATTTCTGCCCCCCACCCCCAGTGTTATTCTAAAAGAAAATTAGGACTGAAAACACCTCAAGAAATTAACAGTGACTAAATCCTGGTGAATAGAAATATGGACACTTTCATTCTTTTCTTTGTATTTTTATCTTTATTTTTAATTTCTCAAAATTAAGACGTTTTAAGGGGCTGGGCGCAGTGGCTCAGGCCTGTAATCCCAGCACTTTGGGAGGCCGAGGTGGGCAGATCACCTGAGGTCAGGAGTTCGAGACCAACCTGGCCAATATGGTGAAACCCCATCACTAATAAAAATACAAAAAATAGCTGGGCGTGGTAGCCAGCGTCTGTAATCCCAGCTACTCGGGAGGCTGAGGCAGAATCATTTGAACCCGGGAGGCAGAGGTTGCAGTGAGCTGAGATCGCGCCATTGCACTACAGCCTGGGCGACAGGGCGAGACTCCATCTCAAAAAAAAAAAAAAAGTTTTAAGGAAGAATTTGGTTGACAGCAAATCACAGGAATTAGGACTCCTCCCCCTCTAGAACCCTATGAAATAACAGGAAATGTTTTAAAAAGAGAACAGGACAGTCAGTCAGTCATCAAACAGATGTACTCTGGAGAGGTGCTGTTCATCTAACTGCCCTCTGGCCTCCCAACACAGGAACCGAAATGGGGAGATCCTATTTTTCTTCATCACTTGGTAACCAGTAGCTGGGCCCTTTATGTAACCTTGGCATATCAAGTACTGCCACTCAGTTCCTTCAATCTTGAGCAAGTAACACAGAGATGGCAGGACGTTTAAAATAGGATCATAGCAGCATCACCAGCATCTAACTGGATGGGACTCTGGTAGCTCCTAGTGAGACAGCTGACTACATCATTGCCTATGGTCACACGGAATGAAGTGCCCAGTGAGGACAAGACATTGGAGAGCCACTTTGCAGCTGCTGTAGAATAAAAGAGCATGAGAACTTCAAACGGCTGGTCAGGGCAGAGAAGGAAAACCAGGGATCTTCTGTGACTGTCCTAAAACAAACATTTCTTACAGCCACAGTGCCTAAGTAATCAAAAGCCAAACTCAGTATTTGATCCTGCAGGTTGCTGGCAATCAGTGGAATTCACAGATTGACCACGTTTTGTATGTGAAAGGAAGAAAATTTAGTAGGAAAACAGCAGGCCCTGTAGCATTAGAATGTGTATATTCGT